AGAATGAGAGAAGATACTGTGGAGCTTGAGGGAGAGATCTTTCTCATCTGTTTCTGAGGGTTTTTTTTGCTGTACGGTAGAGTTAATGAGGCCTAAGAAATTGGTGGCTTAGTGATGACAGACTGTTTATTTATAGTGGAAAATGTTGACTTCCTTTGGAATATGGTTTCACAGTTTTCAAAGCTTTGTGAAAGGTCTGGGCTCAAAAGCATGCCGAGAGTATAATGCAATACAGTAGAAGCTACCAAACTGATGTGGTATTTGATGTCTTTTTCCAAAAAAGACTATTCAATATTATTTGTCATTTCACAGTACTAGTATTGCTTTTCAAAAAGAATATTACAGTCATAGTAGTGCCCTTGCTATATGGATCTGGTTTTGCTTACTTTGGCGAGCTTGTACAGTTAACTAACTCCCAAACTGGTTTTCATTTTCAAGAACTGATAACAGCAGTTGGGCTCTGAATTGTTCAGATTTTGCAAGTTGGGCTCTAGAGATCAAAGAATGATGGAGGTGAATTACTTCATACCCCTGTGTCGGCAAAGGGTAACGGTTTGTGTCAATACAAGTATGGATCTGTGTCACCCAAAGAAAATACTGAATTTCATGGATATTTTAGAGAGAGCTTTTATGTGTATGTTTTCCTGAGGGAGTTCTTTCTGAAGTTTCCTATCTCTAGAGTGTGTGCATGCATTTTATGCTTGAGGTAGAATCTATTCTTTAGCATATGGTAGCAATATTAATTTGTGTTTTGTAATGTGGCCATTAGTAAACAATCCTTTTCATATGCTGTGGTTTCTGTAACAAAGAAGGGAGTGAACTGCTGTTGATTTTACTGGTTTGATTTTAAATCATCATGGTCTGTCTGAAATCAGAATTAATTGTGCTATATATTTTAGGAAAATCAGACCTTTGAAGCACTCCAGGAATTCTTCTGTCCATCTAGTTTCATAAATCTGTTTATAATTATTTCTAATAACTTTCAGTGGCAGTGAAACAGAATAATTTTGAGTTGTATTCCTTTACAAATTATTTATTTGAGGAAACACGTCTTCTAACATTTTTTTTGGTGTAGATGTTGTATTTCTTGTGTGGGAAAGGTAAAAGGTAATAGAAAATTACAGAGATGCAATCTTTTCATTACAGAAATTAAAGGATAACATTGCTGATTTTTATAAAGGATAGACTTTTATAGTAATTGCCAAAACTGGTCTTGGAGAAATGAAAGAGAGGAAGTTATTTTAAATGGAGGTTGTTGAAAACGTTTTTGATGTGCTCTTTTTGCTAATTCTAGTTCTATCCTTCCAGTTAACACTCTCTGAACACTCACTATGGAGGTCTTATCTTCAGAAACCCAGCTGCTCTTCCAGCTCATAACCTAACAGTTTATGGCTTAATAGTTGCTTTTTGCTTTATTCCTTCACTCAGTCCTGGCCCTACAAGAAGCCAATTTAAAGAATGGAGCCTAATTATTCTCCACTAAATGGAAATGCCTCCTGTAGGTTTAAAACTGCTCTTGTTCGCTTTTTCTGTTGTAGCAGTAATGGTGAATCCTCTTTATTTGCTACCCAAATATTTTTCCTTCATCTATCACATTCTGTCAGGGTTCTTTTTTTCTGCCCAACGTCCAGTTTATTTTTAGCATTCTTTTCTGATAAAGCTTTTCAAGCAAACATGGATCTCATAAAATTCATACCTCTTCAGTGCTTATGGATAAAGTAGTTGCAGATTTCCAGTGTTGTATATTTGTGCAAAGACCACTGGCTCTTCTTGAGTTTGTTTTGAGGTTACTGTGTTCTTTGGTTTCCATAGCAGAAATGCCTGCTCTGTTTTTAAGGCATTGAATTTTTCAGTAGGATTATTGATATTTATTTCAAACACTTACATGTTTTCCTGTCATGTTTTCCTCTTTTTTTTCTGACCCATTCAGAGAAAATCAGTCAGATGTTACCCATATAAATGAACAAATAAATAAATACAATATTCTGTGGTCACAGGCATTGTAGTTTTGCGCAGATTGATTTAAATTACTAAGTTGCAGAACATGTTTTAAAGAATAAATTTATTCATCTTCTCATAATTGTATTTAATTTCCTACAGGAAAGTCAATTAATATAGTTTTGTAAACAATTAGTATCTTTGTTATCCTGTAAATAAATCCTAAGTGTTAAACATTATGTAACATTATTGTTTGCTAATAAAGTTAATAGACTGTATAAGTTATTAAGCAATTATATAGATTAACATAATGTATTTAGATTTTTAATGGTTGTATCTTCTACTTTTGGAAAATAGGTAGTGACATCTCTTATTTACTAGGTGGTTAGTTTTATAGCCATGATTTATATCGACTTGTTTTGAAATGGAAAAGTAAATTTAATTAAAACATGGAAAACAATAGTTAAAATAGGTTCTTACTATTTTAAGGTAATCATTATATAAAGGAAAGTATTTAGAATATCCAAAATATATTTTAGAAAGGAAGTATCATTTGTTGGTAATAAATGAAGTTGACTTTCTGTAGTCACAATGTAATTTTAAAATTTTTAAGTAGCAGATTTCAGCCTCATGTATATATTTCTTTAATTAAAGACGACAGAAAAAAGTTTGTTTTTCAAAACTCTGAGAGAACTATGTTTGGGTTGTTCTAAACTGAGGCAGCCTGAACCAGTGAGGTATTCCTTCTGTACTTGCAGAATGTGTTTCATTTCCAGTTGCTTCACCCACTAAAACAATCCCTATTGCTTGATTTAACTTTGTTGTCGAAGCTTTAAAGTAACCAATGCACTGATAATATTTTAATGTAAAATTGAAGTACTGATAGAAATAAGAGATAATAGACCCTGTCACAATTTCACAGCTTATTGTTAAAAGAAAAATGAATGAAAGCACAAAATTAATCTAGAACTATGTTTATTTTTATTCCTATGCTGTATCATGACTTTGATATTAGTTATTGTGGTGTTGAGCATCATCTGTTGGTGTTGCCAGACCTCTCCAGGATGAACTTTACCACCTAAATAAATAGGACAGACTCTTGGAAATGTCCTAGATCAGAGTAATGAAAAACAGAATTCCCCATTTGAACAAGAAGGTGATAGGAGGGGCAGTCATCCCAGAGAACAGGATTAAGTTTTTCATGACAAGTCATGTTATATCCACTCTTAGGAGGGACAGTTAAGTATGTAGCAGTTTCCATTCCTTAGGAATTTTAAAATTTGTTCTCCGATCCTAAGCTCTGTGGTTTGTGTATTCACACTATTTCTGTTTTTATTTCAGTTCTTTGACACGCAGACTTTGCCGGTAAAAAAAAGTCTCTTTGAGGTAAAAGACAAAAGCTGGGTAATTTGAAATGTCAGGTTTTTATTTTGGTGTAGGTGTTCATTGTCTTGGGAACTTAGCTATTGCAGTGATTTGGATTATATAAACCAGCTATTGTTTGTTTTCTGCTGACACTTTGGTTCTCCTTTAAGTTGTCTTTTTTGATAGGAGCTTTGCTCATCATGTGTAAAAAAATGATCTAAACCAGGTGATGCTGTAAACTCAGAATCTGTTTTGTGTTGCAGCTTCTTTGTATATTTTGACAAATCCTTCATGCATAAGGGAAAATGGTGACAAATATCAGTTAAAAATCTTGTAACAAAACAGGATTAGTTTTATCTGCTCATGAAATTCTTTAAGCTAATGTGAAAATCATCTTGGCATAATGCCAACGCCAGAAAACAGAATGTATTCTCTGTTTGTGAGGAAAGTATTAATTATTTTTAATTCCAGTGTGAAAACTAATGTTTTATATCACATGCATCTTATGGTGGCCGTTAATTACTGATAACTAAATTGTGCCTTTTTTTCCTTACAAACACAAAGAAAAATTCATTACAATATTTCTCCTATGAACCACTGCTAAAGGCAAGGGAGTTAAGAATGTTGCTTCAGGTATCTGCTTGTCCCACTGAAGCATGGGAGGAGAAAACCATAGGCAAAGAGAAACATTGGACTAAAATTGTCTCTGGCTCATGTCTGCAACTGCTTTGAGTGTCATTGAACTGTTCTGGTAGATGTGTGAAGTGTGGCAATCCAAACCATACACAGCTGCAGAGATTATAAAGAAGGTATGTCAACATGCAAACCAGCTTTGTGCACTGCTGGAAGACAGAGACTTGAACTGAGTCAGCAGAGGATAAAGGAAAAAAAGCCGTTTAATTTCTGGATCCATACTAAGGCTGTTTGCTTAGCTGGGCTGTCTTAGGACCCTGGTGAGAGTAATAGTAATGCAAGGCATTAAGAGGAGAAAGGCTGACAAGTAGCAGTGTGTATTACCTGAGAGACCAGAATTCCTCTTTGCAGAATATTACTCCAGTCTACCCGTTAAACAGGAAAGTGTGTGTTCTTAGCTTTACCAAGAAGTAGTTATAAAATAGATGAGTCTGGCTCCTAAAAAGCCTTTACAATCTCTCATGATGTTACATATTTATAAATATTTCCTGAAGACAGGGTCATCAGTGTCTCTTGTATAAATGCACACTTAGACATGTAATAATCCATTAAAAATGCCTTAGTGAGGAAGATAATTTTTGTCTAATGTGTGAAAACCATAGTAAAATTATTTCCGTTACCTTTCAGGACGTGAAAATACACAGGTCTGCAGAACTGCATAGAAAGGGTGTGATGAGGTACAAATATTTGTGAAGCAATGCATTTATTTAGAATATGGCCAGATTTTCAGCTCATCTGGACCTCAAGATTAGTTGAATTTCTTAGAGTGACGTTCTTGTTTTTCAGGCACCTTTCTGTCCCCAGGACTTTCCAAGATACAGGAAAGATAACCCCTAGCACAGTATTCTGATTCTTTTTCTTTCTCTTTTTATAAAGTTTGCCAAAAGCAGACATCTGAAGAAATGTCTTCCAATCGTGATTCAAGCCTTACTAATGCACCAGTGCAAAGCAAGCTAGTATCTTCCTTCCAGCAGCACACAAAGAAAGCACTTAAGCAGGTAAGCTTGTATTGACTTATAGTCAATTGGCTTCCTCTTACCATATGTGTCAGTCTTAGACAAATAACATCTCAACAGAATTCCAAGGCATTTCTGAGGATTTTTAGTACTTTGTTTGGTGGTGTTTGTTGGGTTTTTTTTTTCCAGTGGTGCAGTCCTGCTGTCTATTGTGAGTTTAATGTTTTTTAAGCAGTTTTGACATAAGCAGAATTGGTTACGTTATCACACCCCTGCTTCTCCCATGTAAACGTTTGTGTGGGAATTTTTATGTGAGGTTTAAAAAAACATTTTGAAAGAAGTTCTGGAGATAGGTAAGAATCTGGGTACACTCACTGTTCCGTTTTTCTTTATGGTCTGTTAAGTAATTTTTGTTTCATATTGTATATGTCACTACAGTGTATAAAATGGGTAGATTTGGGTTTTTTTTAATAACTTACGATTTGGATGATTTAGGTTGCAATAAGTAGTAAAGCCTGCAAAAGTAGCTGATTATTGAATGTCAGATGTTAATGAAAAGCATAACAATGTGAAAACTATTTTCCAAACAGTGCCAAACGTGTTCACTTTACAGCTGGGCAAATAGAAAAGAAAATCTGCAATATTAAAATTAAGAGGAGAAAATGATTTTTTTTTTAATTCTGAGTATGTAGAAATTGTTTTAGTCTTGTAAAGGCAATCAAAAATGAAATACATCTTTTCTAAAGTTTTAGCAATGAGATGATGTTGTTTTATTGTTTTCTCATAACTGCTCTCTTAGTTACAGTTAATGGAGGCCTAGAATTTCATGGGGTAGATTGTTGCGGGGTTGTTGATTTAGGCTTAAGTTAAACAAAGCCTGTCCACATCTCTTCAAAACAGTTCAGTGTTTGTGCTTAGTTTTTCATGCAGTTTGAATTTAAATCCATTAAAATTAATAGTCCTTTATTATTCACATAAGGTGATCTTTTACTTTACTACTTTGAGGACTGGAAAAGATTGTTGGATTGGGGTCTCACATCTGTTTGTTCAGGAAAATTAAGCAGTGGGCACATAACAGCTTACTAACTGTGTGGATAACTGTGAAAAAGACACTCTTTTTGTAAACTCTTCTGTACAGATCTTTTGCAATATATGAACTTTCTTAGGGCTGCAGGGAGCAGGCAAAGGGAAACAAGGGGAAAAAAAAGAGCAAAGCCACAAATGTTTGAACTTGTGTAACTGTTTAAGCTCTACTGTTTGTCATTTAGCAGATGTATAGCGTCAAGAATAATTTTTCAAAGGGCAAACCTGTCAGAATAGCTTAATTAATATAAAAAGTCAGAACACTGATGGAAAGCTTTGAAAACATCCCCTAAGGCAGCAGGGTTAGAGCAACATCAGAAAGTTAAGTAATCAATAAAAATAAATTAGTTTTAATTAAGTTAATGGCAATTAGATCGTATACTTCGGAGTATGAGAGTATTATTACAGCTATCAGTAAAATGTTTTCTCTATGCACAGCATTAGACAAATGGACATTTGTATTGTGGAATAGTAGTGGATATTTGCTTTGTTTTCCCTAGTTTCAGGTGTTGGCTACTGCCATATACACGCTGTAGATTTGATTTAATTTGATACTGTAGCAGCGGTGGTAAATCTTAACAGCATTTTTATTTATAAAATTGCTGTTGGAAATTTATTCTTTCACTTTCAAATCTTTCTATTGCTTTTATGGGTACAGAATACCAAAAACGTGTAGAAAGAAGAACCTGTAGTACCTTTGAATACACAAGAAACTTTTAGCTGACTTTGTAAAACACTCCTCCCACTCATACTAACTTACTGGTACAGTGCTAAAGTAACAGAAGGTGAGCCATCATCATGCTCTTGGAAAGTGCTTAATCTGTATAGACATATATATACTGTATGTATGTTGTAATGGGGTCTAGCTATTGCTTTTTTATTGCTAAGCAGAGAATTGAAAACCTGCAAGGCAGTCTTTAAAACAGTTTCCTACTCAACTTCTTTAAAAACAGGGGGTTCTTCACATTAACTTGACCTTGTGTGTTTTTGTTTTGCAATCCATTAAAATTAATGTGAGAGGCAAGTTGGTAAGGTAAAGTACTGCTTAAAGATCTGAGCTAGAATTAGAAGATTTTCTCTACTTTTTATCTACTTATTAACCTTTCTAGTCATATTTAATTCTCTTTAAAATACTATATGCTGGATGCACGTATGATTTGATTTGTAATGAATTCTAGAGGCCCATTCTTGGGTTTAGATTGCAAACAGCAATCTCACCGTTTCCTTGTAACAGCCTGCATTTTAGGATGCTCTCATGAGTCAAATTAGCCACAACACTGCATCTCTTGAGATGTACTAGGAGCTCAGAGGAAAGGGCATTTTCTGAGCCCTGGCTCTTGGTCCTGATTTCTCTCAGGTAACAGTGGATCTGAGGTATTTTGCAGGGGCTAAGAAGGTTCACAGTTGCAGTAGGCTCTCAAAAGGTCTGTGGCACAGGTCAGACCTTATGCCCTCACCTTTCAAAGGCTGGGCTGGCCATTTTGGTCTGGAAACTTCCTGGGTTCACTGCCTTCCATAGTGTCCTTATTGAGAGAAAGGTTTTGAGTGTTTCACCACTGAGTGTATTTCATGCTTCTTTTTTCATTTTTGAGGGAGTTTCAGTTTTGCTCTTGTGTAGTATCTGAATGTAATGTCCAACAAAATAGTTCCCATTCTTGAGGGTTTAGACAAAAGAGTCTAGACAAAAGGTGTAGAGCTGCCTTTTATGCTTGGCTTTCTGATGGCAGATTTTACAGATTTCTGTTTCCTTTTTCTTTTGGAAGTGTGTGGGTATGTGTACCCAGCTGTTGGTGATCTAGTACCTTTGACACGAAGGTTAATGGCATGCTGTCACATGCTGAGTCCTTATCAGTACTGATCAGTTCCATGCTGATTTACCTCATTTTCACACTGGAGAGTTTTGGCATGCAAACCCATGTAAGGACCTCTTCCTTGGAAAGTACTGAACTACACCTGCATCTGCTAGCAGTGGTACATGGTCACACTACTGTGTGAATTACTCTTTCTCTGGACAAGGCTAACTCAAGTATGGACATCAATTCATGGCATAGTACCTACCATGCTCCTCTCTGGTCCAGTTTCTGTTCCTTTGACTTGAGTTGATACTTTTTTTTGGAAGTCTTCGCTATATACAGATTTGTCTGTATCTATCAAGAGGTTCTTGGAACATTTCTCAGAAGAACAATCACACCTGCAAACTGGCCTCATGTAGGTAACACTGAGCATGTGTGAATATCCAGGACATTGAGGTGGTATTAGTGTCTGTTGGACTCTGAGAGCCAAATATAAGAGCACCTTGCCAATCAGTGTACCAGTTGTTTCCTGGGGCAGTACCGAGAGAGGATAAAGAAGATGCACTATAGTGTCTGGGATAATAGTAGACCTCCCAGACATGGAAGAAAATCCTGCCTCACTTATGGCACTTTGGAATCAGCAACAAGAAGGGTACCCATAAATTTTCTGTTGGGAGAAGAGAGGATACTCCATTCAGACTCAGGATCTGAATACAGACCAGGACATGTCTGAGACTGTGCTGGGCATCCAGATCTCTTTGTAGAGACAGAAACTCCAGAGACAGCAGCCAAGTGGGTTTGGGATGAGAGAAGCTCAGGAAATAAGGGAGTCTACACAAGGTATGTTATTGCCATGGTTTGTTTTGTTGTCTTTTTTTTTAACTTTGGGCTTTGTCTGCATGCTTGGTGGCTGGGTTCATATATGTGCCGCTATTTTATTCATAAAGTGGGTAGATGCAGTTTTTATGGAGAAGGATAGCACCCATGCATATGGTTTGGTTTATAGTAGAAGTGGAAACTCCACACCCCTTTTTTTCAGTGGATGCTGTCAGGCCCCAAGCAGTAAGAGAGCTGTGGTGAATTACGGTTTGGCTCATGCATTGCTTCTAAATTTTAGGACATTAAGACCTATACAGCTCCAAATAAGATTTCGGTCTGACTTTTCTAGCACTACTGTAGTTATTATTAGACACCAACCCACAACCTGAAGCGAGACTAAATTTCAGAGCAGAATGGTGAACAGTGTAAGTCAGCCCCAATTTACTCAAATTCACAGGACTGGTTTATTGAGATTTCCTTGGGGTTTTTGTTTTGGGTTTTTTGGGTTTGGTTTTTGTTTTTTGTTTTTTTTTTTTTTTTTTTAAGGACACAGGTGTCCAAGTGCCTAGGTTGGCATTGAAGGTAAAATCCTGATCTGCCTTGCTGCTGGTGTGGATTTGCTTTCCTGTCTTCAGCTCAGGCACACTGCTTATCTTGCTTTGAGAGGAGAGCAAGAGCAAACTCACCAGTGTTGCTCCCTCCACGCTCATTCTCTTAAGATTTCTTTTCTTGACTACAGCCAGATGTGGCTTATCTTGAAGCATTTTGCTGTCCGTAGGAGGTAATCCAGTGAGTCTGTCTGTGGTGTCTATACTTTGACTCATTTTAGAACTACTTACATGTTGTTATACAAGCCTGATATATTTGCCTGTCCTCCTCGCCCTTCCTCACCCCCAAAGAACCGAAGGTGACAGAGAAGATTGTTATGATTATGTCCTTATCACTTAGAATTTGAGCACAGGGTGTCTTCCTGAAAGACTCTGAAAATCCACTGTGAACTGAGAGGTATTTTTCTCTACTGAATTCCTTGGTGTAGAGAGTTTGCTGCAGTTTCTCAGTGTCTCTGCTAACCATTTTCCTATGTTTCATTTCAGATGCTACAAATTTACCAAGGCCACAGTTGGAGAATTCTGGCTCTCTAGCTGAAGCATTTGTTCAGATGTCTGGCAACATAAGTGATGATTCTTGACAAATTTTCCTGTCAACAAATGGAAAGCAAGGAAAACATGTTGCATTTTGACTTCTAGAGAGACATGGGAAGGGACAGTGGAATTTACAAAATGCATTCAGGAAAATGGAAGTTTGAAGATGATAATCTAAACTGATTTTCTGACTGCCAAGACAAGTCTAGGGAAGAGGACAGAGAAACTATGGCAGGGAGACTGCATAATGGGGAAAAGAAGCTGGAAGAGCAAGAGTTCCAGCAGGAGCTCTTCAGGGAGTACATGCATTGCCCGAAGGCAGGCTGCACGGTATGTCCCTCTAAAGGTCCCTATGCACAGGCAGCATGTACCAGCTGCTCAACACAGTGCTTTGGTAAGACACAAGACAGTGTTTGTGAGACTTTCTTCTGGGTCATCCCCATGGTCCTCGGCCCTTATCTGTGATGGAAAAAAAGGGGTAAGAATCCACACAGTCCCTGTATTCTTTTTGTGCCGCTTTTCAACAACTAGCTCCCAGTTGCTGGGGCATTCTGCTTGTTTGGTTTTCCCTGGGGTTGTTGGCATAGCATGCTTTTTGCAGTGATCCTGCATATTTTCTGTTTTAATAAATGTATTTTCCAGATTTTCTTACTCTGAGAAATAATCAAAAAGAATTTTAAAGCAACATTAGAGCAGTACTGTGTTGAAGTATAGTCACCTGTCTCTAGTGTCCTCACTTAAAATATGTCATCACATGAAATTGCCTTTGGTTAAATCTACCACTGCTATGTGGTGGAATCTCCTTCCTAAATATAGGTCAAAAGTGCTCTTTGTTCTTTTCTGTAGATGCGGTTGCATCTACAGACTTGTCCCAAGTCTTAGACTTTCAAGCTGATGATAATGGCCTAGTTCTACGCACTGCACTTGTCTGATAATGTTTTTCTTTAAGTAACGTGGTGAACTCTTTAATGTGAATTGGTCATTGCTACTCTATTCATGCCAAATATCATCATGGAGATGGGAGCCCCACTCAAGCTTTTCCAGTGATGTTACATGATTTTTCCATATAGTGGCAGTGGATGTCTGAGTATCTTCTTCTGGGCCAAATGAAAATAGCAGCTTTTGATTTGAATAGTTTATAACAGGAAATTATACCCAGGTATAATTATACCCATGTCTTGATTTTGAAGTGCATCCTAGAAATGGTTGGCTTTTTCAGGGAAAGCCAGGAGTTGGAACAGCTCTAGGAAGCCTCCTACAAAACTCTGACAAGCAGCTATCTACAAATGCTGTTCCAGGAGCTGTTGGGTAGGTCTCCAGAAGGCTGTGAGCTGAGGGTGTGTGGGCATGTGGTAGAACCCAAGCTGAAACAGGATGTCTGGCAGAAAGGCATTACACTCTTAACTGCTTACACTGGTGCAGTTTAAATTCTTGGAGAGGTAATATGACAAGATTTTTTTTAACTGGAGAATGGCAGTCCAGCCCTGAAGCCCCCACTGCGTGCTTTGGACCCTGTGCAGGATATGTTTGCAAATTTGACCTAATGGAAAATGTTGATTACTGCTTTAAGGGATTTGTATTCTTTATTTGTGGTCTTTATTTTGTTGCTACCTTTATTTTTGTTGGTTTTTAAACTGCTTTCTACAAACTGTTTCCTTACCTTTATGTGTTTTGTTGTTCCAAGAAACAGATTTCCCTTTAAAGCACTTTTCAGATTATAGGTATTACTAATTTAATACTAAAAAAAAAAATAAAATAAAATAAGCACAAACAAAAAGAAACCAACAAACACTCTTTGGAAAGAAGCGTGACTGAGTCGATGCATATGCCATATTCATTCCCATCCCATGAAAGGCAGAACAGACGATGAACGTATCACATTTTTTTGTCCTTCTCTTGTTTCTGTGATTGGGAAAGCAATAAAAATGTTTATTTTGCAGTCTATCATGATCTGCAGCAACTGTAGCTGTGAATGCATTATTGTAATGCTATAGGAGATAGTGCTGGCTTGCAGGTGTACAGACACTTTACATGAATACACACATCTCTCTGTCTCTGCACCACAGATGTCCAAACGCTTTAGTTCAATGTTGGTCAATGTACAGATAAATGTCAAGTTACAGAAAGACAGAAACCACTACGGGGACCTAAAGAACAAATAAGCAGCAAGAAATTATTTTTGTTCCAAATACAGATATGTGTCACAGGGTAGAATATGGCATGGAACAAGAATATATGTGGAGATATTAGCAGAGTTTGGAAATAAACCCTAGTTCTCCAAACTTCCAGCCTGGTGTTCTACCACTACTCTTCATCTCCAAATGAGAGGTTGTGTACACTTGGCACCATTACTGTTATGTTTGGTGTACAAGCCTGATTGGAAGTAAATTAATTTGCTCTATGCTTTGGAAATGGCACTTCTTGCTTTGTAACTGTTTCCATAATACATCTTTGTTACTGTTTTAATCTTATGTTTGCATGCCTTTAATATATGTTTAATATAAGAAGTAGTGGCATCCTGAAAATAATAATGTGTTTATTCTTCATGATTTGTGGTGCTTACTGTTTTATTTTAACTGCTCTGTGTATTCTTGAAAAAGGTTGCCACTGAGAAATTTTAATTTAATGGAGACATGGGAATTAAAGGCTGTCTTAATTTTACTAATAAAATGGGAGTGAGAGAGAGGATAAAGACTGTATTTTATGGTAATGTTGAGTCAGTGATAAACTATAAATCTGTTTCATCTTTGCCAATTTGGGAGCCATGACCATGATGTAGAGTTGTTATTTATTTTGTTCAGTAGACTTCTCTCAGTGTATCATAGCTTGTGTTTTTCACATGGCAGAACAGAAGAATTCCATAGCTTTACATTTCTGATCCATAATGTGTGAAATTTCAAAGGTTATTTTCATGATAGGAGTTTCAGAATGTAGAGTTGACATTTATGGAACAAATAGAAATCTGGGACAATGTTGCTTAATGCAACCAAGTGTTACATATCTTTGTTGTTAATAACTTAATTTTTAACATTCTCAGTATGTCATGCATTTAAGCTCAAATGAAAATGGTTTCCTGCATTAATGATTTATCTCTATGCTGCATATTTTCATTCTGAATTGAAAAGATGTGGGAAAGAAAAATAATGAAAGCATATCCCAAGTAGCAGTAAAGCCAGAGCATAGAGCTTGACAATTTGCTTTTGCTGCTCTTTTGGGGATGTATTTTTCCCCTCTCTCCAGTTACCTTTTAGTTGATGTTATTTCCTTTAATTTCTACTTCAAAGACAACTTTATTAGTTTTTAGTAAAGAGAGTCAACCCTTTTGTCACATTGGTGAAGAAGTCTTTCCTGTGTTAAGATCAACTAAATATGAAACGATTATTCCTAAGAACAGATAAGGTCATTCATGAAACCTCCAACACACTGCTCTCCTCCAGCAGCAGCATAAACTCCCCAGAAAAGAGGAGGAGACTTGCTCTTGTCACCTCCTTATAAAAAAATGCTTGGAATTAGAAGATTGCTGTTAATTGTGTGGTGTTTTTCTTTTGCCATCTATCTTCAGAGTTTGTGTGTGTTCAGTACTCAGTTTTTTACGTTATTTTGAGTTCTTTGGATGAAAATGGTTTGATAGGTTACTTAAAGATTTTGGCAAGAAAAGTAATTTCATTAAACATATTAATTATGCCAAACTCTTTATAATGACCATAGCAGTGTTATTCAACAGATGGTCACTGGTTCATTTTTATGAATGAGAATATTGGGAATTCTCCATACTTGTTATGTGTGAGAGATTCACAGATGTCCTTTGAAACCTGCTTGTGAAAGGGTGGATGTAAGTACTATATTTTGGTGGTGATTTTACGAGAGCTTTTAATGTTTAACTTGTGTCCCATGCGAACTCTAATTTTCTTTCTTTGTTTATTTTTGTGCTGCACAGATAGGATGGTAGTAATGTTTTACAGAATATTTCAACAGTGATCAGTTCTAGGAATTTATAACTTGCAGCTTTTTTAACTGAAATATTTAGTGCAAAGTGATTGAATACATTTGAAATGTAAACATAGTGTCTTGTTAAAGAAAAATGTACATTATGCAAGCCATTATATGTGCTATATGTGTTTCTCTCTTGCTTTCCATAGTAAAACTGACATCTTACCATTTGGTAAAATCTTCAGCTCTTTCTTGCAGATCTGTAGGAAGCCCAGCTAGCAGATTGTATATCTCTAAAAATGGATGAGATGCAAAAGGCTGTGTTGGTAAAAGATGCCAATGTAGTTCGTGTTAGGTACTGTTTCTGTATCTGCAGTGAGATCTGGGACCATTTTTCTTCTGAATGTGTTACAAAATTCCTCATTTTCTTCAGTTACAAATTTGATTCATCTACTTTGTGTTTATTCCCTTCACCGTAAGAGCCAAACCTAGAGATTTATTTGGTCATAATGGCTAGGAAATCAGTAAATTAACTTGATGCACTAAGAGCTCAATATAGCAAAACCTTTGGTGTATGTTTCACTTTGAGTAATCCCATTGACTTCCCAGCTAAGTAGAATTAATCTTTGGATACAAGATTCTTGTCTTATCCTATAGTAGTCTTGTTTCTTAAAATTAATATCCCTCAGGCCAAGTGCAGAGAAGTTAACACATTCATCCTTAGTAGAGGCTGCTCAGGGTGCCCTTGGTTTATACTTAACTCATTCTGGTGTTTGGCTTTACTAGTACTGAGGTGTCAGTTCGCAATTATTCCCTCCGCTGGGCTGATTCTAGTGTTATCTTGCAAAGACTTGTCTATCCAAAATTTCAGATCTTGGAGCTTTGAGTTCAAAGAGGAATTTAACACTAAATCATTGTGATTAGCTGGGAATGCTAAGTCCCAGTAAACAGGATGACTGAGCAAAATCTCAGCTATTTCTTTACCCTCCAAATCAAATGTTAGATTGTTTACTTCATAGAATCATAGAATCATAGCATAGTTAGGGTTGGAAAGGACCTTAAGATCACCTAGTTCCAACCCCCCTGCCATGGGCAGGGACACCTCGCTCTAAACCATATCACCAAGGCCTTGTCCAACCTGGCCTTGAACAATGCCAGGGATGGAGCATTCACAACCTCCGTGGGCAACCCATTCCAGTGCCTCACTACCCTCACAGGAAAGAATTTCCTCCTTATATCCAATCCAAACTTCCCCTGTTTAAGTTTTAACCTATTACCCCTTGTCCTGTCACTACAGTCCCTAATGAAGAGTCCATCCCCAGCATCCCTATAGGACCCCTTCAGATACTGGAAGGATGCTATGAGGTCTCCACACAGCCTTCCCTTCTCCAGGCTGAACAGCCCCAACTTTCTCAGCCTATCTTCATATGGGAGGTGCTCCAGTCCCCTGATCATTCTCGTGGCCCTCCTCTGGACTTGTTCCAACAGTTCCATGTCCTTTTTATGTTGAGGACACCAGAACTGCACACAATACTCCAAGTGAGTTCTCACGAGAGCAGAATAAAGGGGCAGGATCACCTCCTTCGACCAGGCTCCTTTTGATGCAGTCCAGGATAAGGTTGGCTTTCTGGGCTGCAAGCGCACACTGAAGCCGGCTCATCTTCATTTTCTCATCGACCAGCACCCCCAAGTCCTTCTCCGCAGGGCTGCTCTGAATCTCTTCTCTGCTCAACCTGTAGCTGTGCCTGGGATTGCTCCGACCCAGGTGTAGGACCTTGCACTTGGCATGCTTAAACTTCCTGAGGTTGGCATCGGCCCAGCTCACAAGTGTGTCCAGGTCCCTCTGGATGGCATTCCTTCCCTCCAGCGTATCAAGCGAACCACACAGCTTGGTGTCATCGGCAAACTTGCTGAGGGCGCACTCAATCCCACTGTCCGTGTCAGCGACGAAGATGTTGAACAAGACCGGTCCCAACACCGATCCCTGAGGGACACCACTTGTTACTCGTCTCCAGCTGGACATTGAGCCACTGACCACAACTCTTTGTGTGCAGCCATCCAGCCATACTTTTGTATCCTCCTACCCTGTCTCATATTTTTCTCAGACAAAAATGATAGATTTAAAATACATATTAGGAAGAAATTCTTCACTGTTGGGGTAGTGAGGCGCTGGCACAGGTTGCCCCAGAGGTTGCCCAGAGAAGTTGTGGATGCCCCATCCCTGAAGGGTTCAAGGCTAGGTTAGACAGGCCTTTGAGGAACCTGGTCTAGTGGAAGGTGTCCCTGCCTGTGGCAGGAGAGTTGGAACTACATGATCTCTCAGGTCCCTTCCAATCAAAACCATTCTGATTCTATGATAGAAAGGCATAGGGAGATAATTAATTTCTTCTCTGGGGACAGTATAATTCATTGGCACTTTGTGTTAAAACTTTGACTTAGATTTTTATTTCCACATGGTTTTGTTTGGTTTTGGGTTGTTTGTTTTTTTCATTCTACAACCTGCCTTTCAGGTGTCCATGCGTGTAGCTTTACTGTCAGTTTCAGTTATCCCATACAGATTTCCAAATTTAACTATGTGTCCTGTATAGTGATCAGTTCCTTCCATTGTGAAACTGGTGGAGGTAATGGAGGGACTGTCAGTGAAACAATGGATGTTAGGGGAAAGGAAACCCTGAAAAGCAAATGTGTGTCAAAGGGATATGGTGTATGTAAGGTCCGTGCTTGGTCCTCATATGTTTGGGTGCTTACCTGGAGCTCAGAAGTGGACTATGCCTAAAAGTAAATAGTTCTGGTAGCAACACTTGCATGCTCCCAGCTGTGTTCCCTACTGCTTGTGGTTCTGAGTGTCAAGGCTGTGCTGGGATGAACTGTGCTGACTTGTAGTAACGCTCTGTGAGCATGGGGTGGCCTGTGCTTCTTGGAAGTGCCAAATTAGTTGCAAAAATGTATGCTTAAGGTCCACAAGTAGCCTTCCTTGAAGGTCATGAAAGAAGGTAAGTGGTGTGCCTGACAAAGACTGGGTATGGCTGCTCTCACTCTGACACACTGACGTGTCACCTAAGGTGTACGAATGCTTCCTACCTGTCACTGATGGAGGATACACTGCTGCTTACTTTCTATAGTTTGTGGGAGTTGTGTCTAAAGCACTGAAAATCAACTCTGAGGCTTTACAAAGAATCTACCTTTGTCACAGTGGCTGTATAAATCATTAAAATGGTATTTCCTTATGGATGCTGGCAATAAGGCTATGGACCCTGGTAGAGATGGAAATTGTCTTGAAATGGCAAGAGGAGGTTAGAGGAAAACACGGGACATTGTTTGGGCTCTTACTCCTTTGTCTAGGGTATGACACTGAGGATGGATATTTCTTCTCTTTGCTCATCAGGCAAATGAGGCTGTGGAGCACAGTAATTCAAAGTTTGGGTTGTGGTTGTATTGGTATGGTGTTGGCACAGAAGTTGGCTGTCTTTTCAGTTAATTTTTACTGGACTATTTGTTACTGTCTGTGTTACTATATAAATAAGGATCACTTGGTCAGCTTGGCAGGGCTGTGCACTGAGGGTCATTTTTGGCATTTTGGGGAATTTTTGAGAAGTTTTTTTGTATTTTCTGTCCACAAGTCTGGCTGTGCTTGCTCAATATCAGTAGAAATTTTCTGTTTCACACATGTATGAAATATAGGCTGTTCTTTGTGGCTTTCTGCTTGTTTCCTTGGTTCAGTGCAGATTTGACCAGCTTCCTCTCTTTGTTCGATTTCAAGTGTTCTAATTCGCTTTTTATTGCAGCGTGCTTATGTGTCTTTTAAGAAGTGTGCTATAAAAAAGGTTAATCGATGAAATAGCTTTTGTGTGGCTTCATGTATTTTATGTTGTGTAGTGTGTTATTTAGAGCAATAGAGTGACATCGATTTTATTTTCAGAGAGTTTTTTTTATTATTTAGCTATGTGAACATTTTGGCAAGATATTACAGGTTAATTGAAGTTACACACCTAAACCTTACAAGGCATCAGTCATTCGTGTTCATAAACCTACAGGGATAATTCATATAAAATATGCCCCTTGTTGCTATAGTATTACTTTAATAAATCCTTCCCTAGATCATAACACAAATCACAGTTACAAAAAGAGTGTGCACCATAATATTGGAGAAAAACAGACAGAAGAGTAGGAGAGATCTGTATTAAGCCCAGCCCATTCTGATTAATTTCAGAATTGTAATGCTTGCAGATCTATTAATTGGCAGGTATTCGTATCTGTATGTTTTAAAATCTTTGGAACCAGGTAACATTTTTTGTATAAAACAGCCTGACAGTTATTTGCTGTTTCTAATCCTTAAATATTTGGCATTACATTATCAACCCTCTATTTGATCCATTTATGAAACACAAAGCACTTCCATTTGTAGAGATTTATTCTTGTATCATTTTTCCTCAGATTTGCCAGAACACCATCATGTTCGTGTTCTGAAGGTTAATGCCCAAAGTCAAGCAGACAGAAGCCAAGTGCTGCAAGGCTTCCAAGATTAGGACTGATTCCCTTCACGAAAATAAATGATTCCTGCCATGTTCAGTGATTTTGTGCAGCACTACTCACGGCTGAGTGAGTGCATCAATACTGTAGTCCTTACATGCTGTACATACTGATGACACTCTGTGTTAACTTGATTGACTGAGCAGTATACTGAGAGGATGCACCTGCGAGAGATGTGCAGACATATATATTTTTATTCTGGTTTTGAAACATTTATTTTACATTTTCTTTACTTAGAAGCCTTAGTTTCACATTCCATGGGTTATCATGTTGTACTGCTAAGGTAGAGCAAATAGTTATGTGCTTCTTTATTGTCAAAATGATTGGAAAATGATCTAAGGTGCATCTTCTTTCTCTTTATAAAAAAAAAAAAAAAAAAGCCTGATTTTATATTTAAAAGGAAAATGACATAAAGGGGACAAGTATGAATTCTGGCAAGTCAGTAACTATGTAAATTGTGCTTATTGTAAGAGATTCAGTTTAATGGTAGAGAAATGTCTCATGTTATTCGCTTATAAACATTATTTTTTGTTACATTTTTACATTTTGTTATCATTTTTGTAGGCTTTAAGACAACAGCAGAAAAGAAGAAATGGAGTCTCAATGATGGTAAACAAGACTGTTCCTCGTGTTGTTTTGACACCATTAAAGGTGTCTGACGAGCAGTCGGATTCTCCTTCAGGTAAATAGCTAAAGGACCTTTTGCAAGATCAGCTGGAGGTACAGAGCATTCCTCTGAATCAGCTGTGTAGCACACAGAATTTGGATCTGCTGAAATAATGTTTCCACTTGGTGGCTTTATTTAACATCTGTATTTCCTCATAAAATGTGGTGTCTGAAGGATAGAGATTTTGCTTTAATACAGAATGGAAGGCATGCAATTAAATGACGATTGATAATAGCAGCTTTAAAGTAATGCAAAGTAACATTTTGTTTGGCACTGGAACTCTGATGAAGGACCACATGTTGGTATTCAGTGTCTCAAAAAGGGGAGGTGGGGAAAAAAGACAAGCTTCTCTGTGAATATGAATTTGTGTCTCAATTCTGCATTGCAATACTCAGATCCTTTTGTTAGCTTTCCTCTGGTACTATGCTCATCACTGCAGCATAACCTTGACCTTTAGTTCTGGTGTTTAAGTTGCTTCATTTTAAGAGATTTCTATGGCTATGTTTAACACAAATTGACAATTTTATTTCCAGGTATATCTATATATCCAGGGATATTCTTCTATAAATGTTTCTTCACAAAGAAATGATCTTTTTTCACCTTTATATTACTTTACTGCCCCATAAATTATGGTTAAAATATTTTTAAAGATATCCCTTGGGCATTATAGGAAATTTTATTTTTATTAGATCAATGAACATTTTTATTGACTGCAGTGTTCAGTAAACTTTAGTTTTCAGCACTTAATTGATTTATTGAGCTTTTACTTCCATTTCCTCAGATGATGAGGAATCATATTGTAACCAGAAAAAGGTGTATTGCCTTTCAGCAAATAGATGTCGATTTTTTTTAAATCCTATTTTTGTAGGGGGTGCTGGGGGGATTGTTGGTACAAGTGCATCAGTGTCACGTTTGGCTGGTTTTATTTTTTCCTAAGGATCTGAATCTAAAAATGGTGAAGCAGATGGTTCTGATAAAGAGATGAAACATGGGCAAAAGTCTCCAACTGGAAAACAAACCAGCCAGCACTTAAAGAGGTTAAAAAAATCTGGTTTAGGTGAGTAGGAGTGAAATAATTACCTTGCTTGTTATTGTAATACTGACATTTTTCTGAACACTGTGTTTTCTCTAAAAGTTTTGTTTTTCTGGTTTATCTGTGCAGCTGACCCTTTCTCAAGAAAGCATCTTTCTTTCTGGCTACCTGGAAGATCCATGGGCAATTTTTCTCCGCCCCCCACCCCAGAATGATTTTCTGTAGTTGCTTTTTAAAGGTTGGCAGACCTAAGCAACTTCAGGCAGAGAGGTCATTTAGCAATTAGCTTCTGATTGCTGCATCATGATTTTCTGGGGGATGGAGGCACGTGTAGCAAATACTCTTTCTTCCTGTTAAATTTGCTTGCAGTCTAATATGTATTTATTCCCCAAGTCAATAGCGTATTTGTTCACATACCCACCCTATTAGAAGTTTACCTTCTTTTCTTCATTTCTGTTACTCCATGACATACCAAGATTTGGCATATAATTTTTGGTTGATTCTCTTCCTTTGTTTCTTCAGTTGGATCCTTAATTATTTTGAAGCTACATTTCTTGAAGTGGTAGATAGAGTTTCTGGTTTTATTTTCTGTGGTTTTTAGCAAGATTCATGGATGATGATCTGTAATTAATGAAGAATTTTCTCTGAAGAGATGCTAAGAGTAAATTCTCAGTAGCTTCATGTGATAGGCAGATTTTCCTGCTCTGCAGGAAATATAATTGGAAATGCTCCCTAAGGAGAAGATAATGTAGTGTTCGCTAAGACTCTTGTCTCGGCTAAAGTAAAGTAGAATAATTGCATAACTGTTTCTTTATCTTTGCAAAGGACTGTTTGCATTCAGCAGACTACTGAATCATTTACAGGAGCATTTTGCAACGTGGCCATATTGGAAAAGTTAGCAAACAAGCTTTTTATAGTGGCTGGATCATCCAGCCATCTGTCTTCATGGTGATAAGATTGTTCTTCTTTATTAATGATCAGGCCTTGTTCTATTTTTATGTGTAACTATCCTGTAAAATACCTTGAAAGTATTTTACTTCCTAAATGGCATAACTTGGTTGTTAAATATGCTATTGGCAGTTCCTGGTGAACTGTATCCTGCAATCATTATTGGATCACAGCCTCCCATGAAAGTGCATTTTGGTTTCCTATATGATCTCTCTGCAGATTATTGATCAGTCTTAGAGGGATAGCTAGTCCTTCATGTTCACCCAATGGCATTATTCAAACCCAGAAATACTCCTTCAGTGTTAACAACTTTTGCTATGCAAAGATATGTTCAATTTCAGGTGATTTCCTGTAACTTTGCTCTATAATGAAAGCTAAAATATGTATATGTTCCTCCCCAGCCTCAGGTATTTCATCCATTTTTGGCTGATGGTACCAAATGGAGAGTGAATTCCTTAAATTTTTTTGTGGACTTCTGAAAAAAACCTCTGGCCTTTTGGGACACCATGCTTGGAATGTGGGAATCTGTATACATTTTAATGGTTTCTGTTCTCATACCTACTGAAATGTTTCTCTTATGGCATATATTTCTTGGGATACTAGTACAACAGTTGTTGAGCATTTTTGAGAATAGGTTCAGTGTCCTATATAATGCACAATTCAGTTCCAGACACTGTTTGATTGTCTGACACTCTGCTGATCTGCCCAACATTCACTGTATGTTGTGATTGATAGACTTTCGGAGCTCCCATTAAATATGATGACTTTTTCCTCCTTTTAGTTAACTGATTCTGCCAACTATGTGATTTCTATCCTTTTCCTATTTTACTTTTTATACTTCAGTGTAGAACCATAGTGCTTCCAACCTTTTCATAGTTAATTCTCTGTGCTGGAGACTAATCTCTTCTTTTCCAAGAAGCTGTAAGCTTGAGTTTCTCTCATCTTCGAGGTTCTATTTCTGATCTGGGCAGTGATCCCCCCAAACTCTGGTTTGCAGCTCTATGAGGATTCAGAATGTGTTTGTGGAAAATGATGTAAAACCCATTGTCATATGTTTTGTCATAAACTTCTCCCAGAGTTATTAGCTTTGAAATAGTGGCATATTCTTGTATTCCACAGAAATACTGCTTTCCATGCTACTCCGGAATACTTTGCTAAATCTGATTACAAACTTGAGAGCTTCATTAAAGGTCCTAAATTAGCCATAGCAAGGCTGAGGGGGGAGAATTTGTGATTCTTCTGAACAGTTTTGAGTTATTTTTTGAAGTATGCCTATCCTGGGCATCTATAGTTTGTTACTGGCCTACCATCCTAGAAATAAGACACGTATTTCTTCCAAAAGTTGATAAAACCTCCATAGGAGCCTGTGAGCAGTAGTACTTGGAATAAATCAGAAAATATGTGACCTACACACAGAATTTGGTTTGACTTTCTGATACAGTCTTGGCTTTTTGCACTATTAAAATCATAGAATCATAGAATAGTTAGGGTTGGATAGGACCTTAAGATCATCAAGTTTCAACCCCCCTGCCATGGGCAGGGACATCTCTCTCTAAACCATATCACCCAAGGCCTCGTCCAACCTGGCCTTGAACACTGACAGGGATGGAGCATTCACAGCCTCCGTGGGCAACCTATTCCAGTGCCTCACCACCCTAACAGGAAAGAATTTCCTCCTTATATCCAATCTAAGCTTCCCCTGTTTAAGTTTTAACCCATTATCCCTTGTCCTTTCACTACAGTCCCTAACGAAGAGTCCATCCCCAGCATCCCCATAGGACCCCTTCAGATACTGGAAGGCTGCTATGAGGTCTCCACGCAGCCTTCTCTTCTCCAGGCTGAGCAGCCCCAACTTTCTCAGCCTGTCTTCATATGCCACTGAAGGACATTACTGACTTTGTAGTCATTTGTCTTGTTTTAGTTTGGATCATCTGTATGTGTATGTCTTTCCATAGGATATGAAGCGTTAGCTGGGGAAAATGTTACTCCAGTTTTGAGTCACTTAGGAAATGGGGATGTGCATTCTGTATTGATTAAAGAAAAGCATACACATACAGGCATTAAAATCATATACATCATACTACTTGTGTTACACCTGGGGACTGTTTTCCCATTTATATTTAGTGGGTGGAACAGATGTTGAGGACAGTTTATTGTGATGCATTCATGAAAATGAGCACTTCTTCCATAGAAATGTCCTTTAAACCAGGGCATTTATTTGCTTATAATGGAGTTTTTGCTGTACTGAAATACAGCTGGAAACATGTGTTGGAAAAGGTTATCTTGTGCTGAGTGCAACGTAATCCTTGTCTTATTCAGTTAGTATTGTCTGCTGTAAAGTAAAAGGAAATTTCAAGAATGTTTGTGGGAGTCTGTGGCTGAAGGGAAGCTTTTAGAATTTACAAATCTGCATTTTCTTTCCTTTGTACATTTTGTGGGTGATGTTAGAGCCTTTCAGGGGAGTCTATTGTAGGCATTGCAAGAAAGCTAATGCAAAATTGCCTGAATTTCATTGGTGTTACTGTCAAGTAGTTTGTAGCATTTGAAAAGTTCCTAATAATCAGTTTGCCCAAATTCACCCGTTTGTAAAATACTTTTCTTCTTTTTAACATGTCAGTTGCAATCTTCATGGAGAGGTCCTATGTGAATGCAAAATGCCATCATTGCTCATAGCATTGGAATAATCTTTTCTATTGCTTTTTTAGAGATTCAGCTGGAGTTTGTGTATTATTTAGTTATAAAATAATGTCACCCGTTTTGCAGCATCTTTAAAGGTTTTGAAAATACAAAATCCGGAGAAGTTTCCTGAGAAAGGTTAGAAGCTTTGAGTTTGTCGAGTCATCTGAGCTGCCCGCTTCTTCCATTTACATATTGAGTATCATAATATGTTAAGACTGAGAGGAAAATAGAATTATAGCAGTATGTATATACCCTGAAGCAAGTAGCAGTAATTGCACTTTAAGGAGCTTTAAAAGGCACCTTTTAAATTTTATCCTAGAAATAATAGCAAAATGAGACCACAAGGGGCCTCCAGTGGTCATCTGTTTCTTTCATCAGTCATAGGGCAATCAGTCATACATCAGTCGTTCCTGAGAGGTATTTGTCTAACATATTCTTGAAGATTTCTACTGATGGAGACTGTATTGTCCTCCTATACATCTAATCCAGTGTCTCTTTTGTGGTTGAAAGCTGTCTTTTCCCAATATCTTCAGAAATGTTTCTTACTGTGCAAGAGTTACATTGCTGTTTGGGTGTGGACAGTAAGAAGACAGTGTCCTTCACCATTTTGCATCAACCATTTGTGTATTTCCCCTTCCCTCTGCTGAGTCTCTACCTTACTCATTCCCAGGTTTTTATTTTTCCTCAGAACCCTGTTTTCTAAACCTGTAATAATTCCTGATGCTGCCTTCTGTGTGCTGATCATTTTAGGTCATAGGTTCTTTAGATAATTCTGAAAAATTCATGTTTTCAGACACTCGTTTGACACATTAAATAATCTCCTCTCTATAATCACTGTCTATCTCACACAGGTAGTTTTTAGCAGACACTATTGGGCAAGTTACATAGGCCATAGTGTACTGCATGGCAAAAGAGAAGCTCTCTGTAATGACTGGTTCACATGAAACTCATCAAGCAGCCTTTTACTTGGAAGTAGATGTTTATTATTGCATGATATCATGATGGAATTTTTCTGCTGCTTCTGAGTTGAGTTGGTGTCTTGAGCTGGAAGTAAGAACATGTCAGCTATGATATTGACTGGAACATGGGTCCTGTTAGAGCTTAAGAGACAAATACAGGGAAAATAGAAGCTGTTCATACACCTAGAAAAGGCTGTGCTACCCTTTTCATAGTACTGTTTCTCCGGAGTTTACTGTATTATAAAATAAAACTAAAAACGTAAGAAGAAGACTTGTTCTTATTCCCTTCCTTTTTTTTTTTTTATGTTTAAAGTTATTTCTGTTTATTTACTCCAGGACATTTGAAATGGACCAAAGCTGAGGATATTGACATAGAAACACCAGGATCTATTCTAGTGAACACTAACCTGAGGGCTTTAATAAATAAACACACCTTTGCTTCTTTACCTCAGCATTTTCAACAGTACCTCCTGCTTTTGCTTCCAGAAGTAGACAGGCAGGTAAGTAGCATGATGCAATATTTTTTCCTTTAATGAGATTTTATTACAGTGTATATGCATAGGCTGATTTGATTGACAAGGAATTGTTACAGGAAAGAGTAAGAAGTTTTCCATGCTTTCTGAGGTAGAACTGTTAGATGTGGAATGACTAAATTTTATCTAGGTGTCAACCAGCCCCTACTTCCTTTCTTTCTGGAAACTGTGCAAGTTCCTGATTTGTCTAAATGGAAACTAGTCAGCAGATCTTCTGAACTTGCCAAATCTCTTAATCAGCTTTCCTACCTATGTTTTTGAAGGTAAACTTCTCACCTTCAAGACTTTATTTACGTTGAGTATCTTTTTGTCTGTGATCTTCCTGGGCATTCTGCCAACAATGTCCAGGTCAATATTAGTTCTGTTAGTTTCTTCTACCTTCACATTTTACACGTGCCTATGTATGCATCTGCTCGGCTCCAGTGCACTGAATCCATTCATTCACACCTTTTGTAAGGAAGTTCTTGTTCAGATGTAACAGCTGCAGGCTCATAAGACTTGTTAATCAGTTCTGTTGAGGAGAATGATTTGGGGAGTAACCGTGGAAAATAAAAGTTCAATTTCACGTTGTGTCCTACAATGTCTGGTTCCTTCTGCATTTGTTGACCACACTGCAGGCATTTTAGAGCAAGAAAAAAAATCCTTCCATCATGTTTAGCAATGAAAATAGCAAAAAGAGCCCAAACCAATATCATTTACTTACTTGCCTGACTTCCAGATTTAAACAATCTTACCCATTTCAATGGGGAATACTCATGTACTGAATTCTGACACATGAAGTGACCCAAATAGAATTTACTTTTTTTTTTTCTTTTTTTTTTGCAGATGGCCAGTATCCCTCTTCTTCTATAATAACTTACATAACTTTAATAGTCACTTAAATGACTGATTAAAACCTTCATCTTAAATCATTATGGTAAATGTCGTGGTTTCATTTCTTAAACAGTTAGTAGTTAGTGTCTACCACAGTAACACAAGGGAAAGCAATACAAGACAAAAAGAGAAAGAAAAAGATGTATTGATGTACTCAGCCTCCTATCAAATTAGACACTATGTTGTGGACTAAAATTATGCGCTTTGGTAATGGAACATTTGTAAAAGAGCATTAAGCCACAGCCATAAGGAGAAACAATGTAGATTTATTTGTTCTAAGGCTCCCACAAAGCAGTCAAATTCAGTATTTACAGATTTTAAAAAAAACCTTTTCCATACTGTAAAACAGTTCAACTTAGTGCCCAGCAAGTGTTTTGATTTTTCTTTTTATTTCCAGTTAATTGATGAGAAGAGATTAAAAAAAGTAAAATCTGCTAGGTAAAATTATGTTTTCTCTCCAAGCACTGAAGATCCCAGTGTTCATGAATTATATTTCAGGGGCAGGGCCTTATTAAGAAGTTTCACACTTGAAAATTTGTTTTTAGAAATGGAAGTTCTGGAACTGTCAAGTCATTTAACTTCTTATCAGGGTCCTTACAGCAGAGTTTTTGGCAAAGAAATCAAAAGAATATTTGTTGAATTTAATAACACCTCAGTAGTTAAAAGCAATGCATTTCTTTTTAATATTTATTTCAGAAAGCATTCATATAACGCATAAATTGCAGGTATTATCTCAAAGGCCCGACACTAAATATTTGTACATTTACTTCATAAATAAACTAGTCGCAAAAGAGCGTGTGCTATGAGACATTTACAGGTGTCCTTCTGTCTTGTCATCTTCTCACAGTGTTCTGTGGGGGTGGATACCATACAATAATGTGTGTTTGGAAGGCAGAAGTCTCCATTTCTGGAAGGTTAATGGAAATGTTTGGCATCTAAGTGTGATAGTCTGGGGGTTGTTTTCTGTTGGGAGTGAAATAGTCTTGAATACTCACTTTGTGGAAGTCTCAGTAGAGGAAGAATTGCATCCCTTTCTTGATATCTGAGAATATGTTCTTTGCTATGCCTAAAGGGTAGCATCCCTGATACGGACTGATGAAAACAATTGAATTGATACTCTTTTCCTTCATGTGGCAAGTGGAAAATGCCAGTGTAGTGCTCAAGGATTAAGTGAGAGGGAGAGAAAATTCCAACCAGGGAGTCTCTTGTGCTGGTCACTCCAACTGGGCAAAGCAATGTTGTTCAGTGTTTCTCTTTTATTTCTACTGTCTAAATTAACAGAGAAGCAAAAATGATGTAAAACTATTCTTTGAGTTAGCTACTTGTCTCTAAGGGTTCAGGTTATTTTATATGGCCTTTTGTTGTTTTGCCTGAGAATTCCTACTCCTGCTCTTGTGGCTCCAAAGTGCTTCCTACCTGTGTGCTGCTCAGCAGTTGGCTGCTGCTGTCTTCCCCAGAGAAAACTGCATGTCATGTGGATATAGTATGTGAAGCACTGTAATAAATGGCACCATAAAAATGTAATAGAGTTATGCTATTTGTGTATATATAGTGATCTGTGAAATAAATTGCTAACGAAGTGCAGGCTCGTTTAGGCTTTATTACTGCTCCACATAGGAAAACCCTATGATGAATGATTCTTTGTCGTTTCTGTCATAAACACCGTTTTTCTGGGTGGTATAACTCCTCCTTCTTAAATCGTATTGAGCTGAAACTTGTCATGCATATGCCAGTTTGAATAAGCATTTTTAGAAATCATTAGTGCAGGAAGTTGATTTTTACCTTCTTTGTGTGTGTGTGTGTGTGCAAGTGTTTATTATAAATAAATTATTTCCCTCTCAATGCTGGATAGTCTAATATGTTTTAAAAAAGTTCAAGGATAAGCCAGAAGCCTCATGGAATATGTTTTAGGATTATTTTTTCTTTTTTTTTTTTTTTGGCGTATGGGATAGTGTTCAAATTTTGTGGTGGTTATCAGGCAGCCATGGGAGCCCCTTATGGAACAGGAGCCATGAGAGTCACTTATGGAACAAAGGGCTGTAAGAAAGATGTCCCAGAATAGATGGAGAACAGCTCTGTTGTTGATGCTGTCCTTTTTCCTACTCCAGCTAGATTTTTGTAAAAGTAGAGTGCAGGCTCATTACTTTTTTTTTTCTTAGGAAAAGGTAAGTTGTATCATCAGTTTTTCACACTTTAAATTGATTTCAGCTTTTATATTAGTTTAAATTTTATTTCAGTAATAGTGAGGCCAGTGTGTAATTTTCTATATTCAGAATGCTTACAAAAAAAATAGGAACAAGTTGGCAGTTATGGTAGATATGTTTTATCAGTGATTTGCTTTCATCTGGGTTCAGAGCAAAATAGTGTGTGAACATTGTTCAAAGAAGCAGCCATGTCCAGACAGGTCTGTTCAGCATGCTCCTCCAAAACATTGCATCCCTGGATACTGAGAATATTGTATGTGAAATTTGAACATCCAGATTTTCAGCTCTTTGTTAATCTATAGGGAGTCAAAGGCTTACAAACTTTGAAGGTCAGCTGATACAGAAGCCTGTTGGGTGATCCCTCAGAAGACCTAGATGACTGAGCTGGCAATAAGAAAGCGTGTAGGTATAGAAGCTATATAGAAAGCAAACTCTCTGCACAAAAGATTTCAGTTGTCAGAAATCCCAACAAAGTATTTTTGTTTTCAGCTCTAATTAGAACATTCTACAGCTCAAGAACAATTGAATTTTCATCAAAGAATACCTGCTTCTAATATTAATACATCAAGCTGGTAATTACATGTAACAGAAGCCTTCCTGACCACCTCTCAGCAAATACTCATCTTCAAAGCAGGAAGTTTCTCTGTGTACCTAGATTTCTATACTGCATCAGTGTCTCTTTAAATATTAATTACACAACTTCTGTTGTGCAAGGATGAGTAACACGTCTATATGACAGGATCCTGAAAAGGAATGGCAGCTGATCTTGTTTATACCAGCTTTCCTTGCTGTTATTACTAGGGAGTCAAATTCCTGCTGTTAACACTGGGGTATGAGCAAAAGGAAGGGAAATACACCCATGTAGTTAGTAAGCTTCCAAGAAGTGCTGCCTCATCTGAATAGCAGCAGAAAGCTTAAGTGATTTTACCTATGCTTAGAGAGCTAAACAAAATGTTCTTTCCTGAATGCTCTGAAAACAAAATATCTTCACAGACTCTAGAAATGCTTAACAACTTTCTGATCTTTGAGGATTTAACACCGTGTCCTGTATTTTCTCTTCTGGTAATACTGGGTTCTTCTGAGCCTCTTGTGGTTTGCACCTGCCCTGCCCTTGCACATAGGATGAGAATTTCCTTCTGCAAAAACACCCATGAAGGATCTCAGAGGCTCCTCAGATGTGTGTATTAGATTGCAATGTCATTTTGTCTGACAGAACCTACTCACGAAGAGCATTTAAAACAGTAGAAGATATCCTAGTGAAAATTATCAGGTCTTAGCTTTACTTGCTTCATGAATAAATTTAGCAGTCCTTTATTTTATTCTCTGAATCAATCTCTACATTTTATAGATAGTTGAGGTAGTTACTGAAATTCAAAATTCAAAACTTAAAAACTCTTAGGGAAATACTTAAGCCATGTAGTGTTGCAGAAATCCCTGTGAATATTTCATGTTTATAGTAAAGCAATCTGCTACAAAGAAAGCCATGACTTACAAATCAAAAACTCTAAAATGGGCCAAAACCCACCTTAATCTCTTAATTTCTAAATCAGTGAATTCCAAAATAATAACTGTTTCTTGGGTCAGTGCCAGTGTTGTTGTTATATAACAACATTACAGCAACCTGTCACTTCAAGGTCAGACTAGGTTCTGTGTTTATGTCTTGGTCTGTTCTATTTACATAGATGCTGGCACTTCCAGGTTAACTATATCGCCTTGAAAGGATTCCCTCTCACCTCATGTTGGAAAAGGGCACAGGTTGATGTCAGTAATTTTCTCAGTTCTGTTTAAGATAGTTAGAAGTAATTGTGAGGAGGTTGTCTACAGATTTCTATTTCAGAACCTCTTTGTTTTCATGTAGTATGAATCAGCTTAATTTCTGTTCATACTATT